GTCCCCAACTGTCCTTTAAGGTATAGCAGCATGAGCTGCTGATATTTATACAGTTAGTTGGGGCAGTCCCCATGATTAAAATCCAGGTTTATCTGAGCTCATCCTCCTAATTTCGGTACTCCTGTTTTTTCCTCCCTAGGTAGGCTCCTTGATCTCAGTGTGCCTCCATTTATTCTCCCGTAATTGATGGTAGTTACTTCACAGAATTATGTTTATATATAGCTGCTATAATATACTAACAATGTAAAGTGCTACTCATTGATACTAATGCTGTTATTTCTGAAAACTGAGCTCTGGATTATCTGATTTTGCTGCCATCTCTTGAGAGATTGCAGTGATGGAAAGAAGGACCGTCCAGGAAGACAGTTTCATTAAAGAGCGTAACCGAGCAAAAAGCTAGGAATTGTGTGTTTTGCAGACCTACAGAGCTGGACTAGTGGAAAGGGAAAGGTGTTAGGAACAGGCTGAAAGCTCACCTCAGGTTAGGGACAGCGTGTGGCCAGAAATTTAAAGTATTCATCAGGCAGAGCAGATATTCAGCTTGATTTGATTCAGGGTCAGTTACGAGGAAATCCTGTCCTTTGGAGAGTCTGCTCCTACAGGTGTTGCGAGGCAGTGGTGCTGTTGAATAGGGTCAGTGCTGTGGTATGAGATGGTTTCTGTGCCAGACCCACTGTAATGACTCAAGGCAGTGGGTAGGAGTGCTGACTGGGCCTGGGGAAACAGGCCAGAAACCCACTGTTCAGATGGGAGAAGCTGAGGCTCCCAGCAGGCTAACCAAACTGTCTGTTACTCTGCTACTAATAATAGGTATCATGTTTTCTGTGAGGGGGACAATGTGTGCCACCATACCCTTTACCTGCATTTCCTGACTGAATCCCTACAACAGCTCTAGAGGCAGGTACCATTTTGAAAATGCAGATTTAGAGGTTTTTTAGGGTCAGTCACTTAAGCCAATTGCAGAGCTGAGCTTCAGTTTCCGGGCTAGAGTTGTTGCCATGTTGGTGGACTAAAACATCACAGAAAGTATAGGGCAGCTAAACTAATTGTAGAGCCCAAGGACATCCTTCCTAATGGGATCCTGGTAGTAGGGCTGACTGGCCTGGTATACCCCGGAGGAGGACAGTGGGTAGAGCATCCTTGGGCACTGTGTGTGGACCATGTGTTCTCTTTCCCATGCTGATAGGGTTTGCTGTTCTGGGGTTGCTGACCTCAGAGCCTACCTCTGTCTGCATTCCCAAGGTGCTATGCTGGAGGTGGGCTCCACGGTCAGTTCGATGGTAGAGGTCATGTTTCTTGAGCCAGACATAACCAGACTCTGTTTGTTATGTGAACTTGGGTAATTTACTCTATATTGAGCCTCAGTTTCCATGCCTTTAAATGGGATTGTGGTGATGATGTGTGAGTTAATGTCCCTAAAGTGCCTGGCACCAGATCAGGTACTCAATAATTGATAAGTCAGCTAATAGCCAACAGCTAGTGAGTTCAGGGAGACCTTCAACTTTAAATGACTCGAAGCTGCCAGCCTCTGGGACACAAGGCAAGGCACTGTTGGAGGCTTGGAGAGAGTGCTAGGAGCAAAAATATTTTCCCAGGGAAAGGGGTAGACACAAAACCCATTGGGCAGTAATCAGAGTAATAAGGGGCCCACCCTCATCATCAGACCTGAAAATATTTTCATCTGATTTGAGGCCACCCCTTTGCTTCAGCAGTTGGAATGAGGGCATTTCAGAGAAAGGAATCAAAATGGAAGAAGGACCGACCAGACCTTCTGGCACTTGCTGATTGATCATCCGTCAACATTGATTTTCTCCTCCTTTTCTCATCTGCTGGGCATGTTAAAAGCTGGTTCTGCTGTGTCAGGTCATCAAAAGATGCTCTTACATGAAGGGCTGGTGGGGTAAATGGGATTTCAGCCTCTTTGGGAGCCCCATCTGTTCCTACCTGCAAGCCTTGGTGCCAGGCTTCTGAGGAAACTGCTGTAACAAAGCATCTGTCTGGTGGGTGATGGGGTGAGTGGCCTGGGTCAGATGGAAGCCAGGAAATCCTGTTACCTCACTGGGTACCAGAGCCTCCCTCCGCAGCAGGAGCTGAGCAGCAAACCCTGGTGAGTCAGCATGCCTGGGAATTACAGTTGCTAGTCTGTGAGCATGTGGGGTTTGTGTAAGTTTGGGCCTTTTGTTTCTTTCAGCACTCCAGTCTTTAGGAACACAAATCTGGAAACCAGACCCTCCACATGGTACAGTCCTTCTTGTTTTGAGATAATTCTGCTCAAACAGTTGCTTCCCTTGTATGATGGTCTTCCAAGAATTAACCCCTTGCCTTTTGAAATTTGAATAGGTTGTGCTTATGACCTCCTAGTTATACTTCAAAGCATGAAAAGACTTTGAAACAACTTACTGAGCCTCTCATTTTTACACCAGAAGCTCTTTTAAGGATTTCAGTATGTTTTTTGAAGCCAAATTAAACTGCAGATCTTTTGAGGGCATGTGTAGACATGTCTTTTTGTCATTTATTCTCCTTGAGGGTGCAGAATGAGACACACCCTGATATGAGTCTCCAGTAACTACAAGAATGATTCTGGCATCATTTTAAACTTGGTGTACACTCAGAGCTTACCTTTGGAGAGTATTTATTTGTCTTGAAGATAACTCTTGGTTTATCTAGGCACTATTTGGAGGAAACTGAGTTTTTTTATGCAAAGCTTAAAGTCTCAAATTTTCATTAAAAAATCACGCTTTGTCCCACTGCCAGACTCTGAGAGCTTCAAGTTCGCATCATGAAAGGCTGTGAAAGGTCCCTAGAACTGCGGAGGGCCCGTATGGGACTGACATTGATTTTGTCTAGTGTCTGCTTTCCCTACAGTGCTTCTGGCTCCTGGTCCACATTTCTATTAAGAGTGTAATTTCAGTGTGTGTAATTATTCTAGCAGCTGGCATTTTGCAAGAACTACATTGTAAATGGATTTTCTGGTAAACTAGTTGAAAGTAAGTCCTGAATAGACAGTATAGTCTTAGAGAAGTTACCTTCTCTGTGGCTCAGAAATTTCTAGCAATTCACTCAAAAACTTCTTGGTAACAGTAATTCATAATCACCAGGATGAGCTTGTTGTATATTGGTGTGGATTGTATGGGGCAAACCAGCCCCACCACCACCTTTTTGTGGTACTGGGGTTTGAACCCAGGGCTTCATGCCACAGTGCTCTACCACTGAGCTATATACCCCCAGTCCTCTTTATGTTTTTGAGACAGGGTCTTGCTAAGTTGCCCAGGCTGGATCAAATTCTTGATCCTTCTACCTCAGCCTCCCAGTAGTCAGGGTTACAGGCTTGTGCCATCGCACCTGACACCCCTTTGGGAGATTGTGGCTGTATGGCCTATAGGACAGTCACATTTAGTGTGGACTTGGCTTGCCATGAGACCTGAAGGGAGAACAAAAAAAAATATGTTCCTTGGTTAGGAAACTGCTGGGAATACAGGCTTGGTGGATGGGCTCTACAGGTAGGTGGAGTAGGGCAGAGAAAGGCCATTACCGGATGGGTCAGGAAGGAGTCTGGAGGTGTGAGAGATGAATTTCACTTTGCTGTTTGGCTGGGTCCCTGCTGTAGTCGTGACACAACTGCAAATCCTTTTGGCCATTATGAGATTATATATTTGTCTTGGATAAGACCATTCCTTCTTTCTATTCATCTTTCTTTTGTTTTGTTTTCTGAGTCTCACTTTATAATTCAGGCTGGCCCCAAATTCATGGCAATCCTCCTGCCTCAGCCTCCTGAGTGTTGGGTTTACAGGCATGTGCACCACATCTGGCTCCTATTCATCTTTTTAAAAAAAGAAAATCTGAAGATGTATAGTGGATGTTGAGAAATGTGAAGAAAGTGTTCCAATGGGAAGGGGAACAAGGGAGGAAGGAAGGGACAAGGAAAAAAGTAAAAATAGAAGGAAAAAATAGAAACAAAGCTTTTGTACATAGGGAAGGGAAGAGGTTTGGGGGGGAATAGGGTAAAATAAAATTAAATGTAAAAAATTTTTTTAAAAAAACTCGAGTGTGTTGACATTAGGGACTAGAAGGTGAACCTTATATTTGTGCTTTTTAGCTTAACACAGGTCCATGTAACTTTCTTCTCTGATAGCAAGTTAGCAAGACAGCTTTCCTCTGATGGCTTCTGTCAGAACTGTACTCTTCCATGTATTCTGCCCGTGAATCAGCCTCTTTGTAAGCTGTGTTACCTTAAGAATGTTAGGAATTTCCCTTATTGGTTCTCCATATGTGCCCTAGCTGCCGCTTTTCCATGGGGAACTTCCAGAGCTGGCTTACGAGGGAGATGAAGGAAGGGCTCAGGGTGTCTGTCGCCCTTGGCTAACTGCCGGCTCGCTGACGTGGAGTGGTCGCCAGTGAGCGGTTCCTGGAGGGTAGCATTCATGTTCCACTCCCCTATCCAGGAGTGACCACTGTCTCGTTTCCTTCCAGGTTGGCTGGCTCCTCTGGCTGATGGCATGTTGAGGTACATGGGCCAGTGGCAGAGAGGGCTTCTGACCCAGAGGGGGCCACTCTAGAAGCCAGGCCACCACCACCATGGGCCAGTGCGTCACTAAGTGCAAGAATCCCTCGTCGACCCTGGGCAGCAAAAATGGAGACCGGGACCCTAGCAGCAAGTCACACAGTAGGCGAGGGGCAGGCCACCGTGAGGAACAGTTGCCACCCTGTGCCAAGCCAGGTGGAGATATTCTTGTCAATGGGACCAAGAAAGCAGAGGCTGCCACTGAGGCCTGCCAGCTGCCGACATCCTCGGGAGACGCTGGGAGGGAGGCCAAGTCCAACGCTGAGGAGTCCTCCTTGCAGAGGCTGGAGGACCTGTTCAGGCGCTATAAGGACGAGCGGGAGGATGCAATTTTGGAGGAAGGCATGGAGCGCTTTTGCAATGACCTATGTGTTGACCCCACGGAATTTCGAGTGCTGCTCTTGGCTTGGAAGTTCCAGGCTGCTACCATGTGCAAATTCACCAGGTTAGTCACAAATACTTTATGTCAGCCGGTGAACAGAGGAGGAGAGAGAGCACCACTGGCAGTGATGCCAGTTAGGCTAGAACTGACTTGGCTTTACAAGATACGCTTCTTCCCCCCCAGTTTCTCTAAAGCTTAAATGTTCTGAGCCAAGCTGTGGTTCTGATCCAGAGGGAACCCCCCCCACACACACACATACACAATACTTACCTGATGCTATAGCAGACCTATGGAATAAAAATCTTGGGGCCAGGCCCAGGCACTTTTGTTTTTGTAAAGCTTCCTGTTTCTGATATGTACTGCACATTTCTTTTCACAGAACAACGCCTTTGTCTAAATTTTAGGTCACATTTGAAGTAGCATTACCAGGCAGCTTGTAAGTATCTGGACGCCAACCATCTTTTCCTGAAGTTAAATGAGAAACAGTACAGAATGAGCCATATTGCCAAGCTCTGCTGCTCAGCCCCACTGCTATTTCAGAGCCTTTTTTTTTTCCTTGTGAATTCTCAATATTTATTATGTACCTTTCATGTGCAAAGGCACTCAACATGCCAATACAGTGGCCTCGGGGTACGCCTCTGTCATTCCATGAAGCCTCTTGTTCCTTCTAATTCTCACATCAGCCAGGCCTATGAAGCAGTAGCTCTACATACTGTCGTGGTCATGCGTCCCAGTTGAGGTTATTTGTGGGTGAGAGCACAGCGGGGTAATCCTAAGGTGTGGTTTGCAGAGGACAGGGTTATGAATAACCTACCTTAGGGGCCTCACTGAACAGTTTGTAGTTTATATGGCCCCCTGAGTAGGTTACCCTGCAGACCTCAGATGCCTTATACCTCTTGAGACCATATTGTAAGCGGAAAGAGTTGTACAGGTGTTAAAAATATATAATGTAATTTTTGCTTTTTAATGACAGAACTTTGATCTCTGGTGGTAGAGTTGCCAAAGTTCATCCAGAATCTTTGGCTCCAAGACTCCCTTGGCAATCACCAAAAATATACCAAAAAGAACCCATAGAGAATCAGAGTGGGAAGAGAAAGTGCAGTTTAATCACTATGCAGAGTAGAACACAACTGGCCAGAGCAGGAAACTCGAGTTTAGCTTTGTGAAAATGAGTGAACTGCCCACCAAGTGCCAGACATAGTTAGGTGTTAATACTGTATCTGTTAACGTATTTAGCCCTCACGGAACCCTACACAGTAAGGTGGTATTCTCATTGTGTGACAGACAAGGACATAGGACTATGTAGTAGAGGAGTTGGAATTTCAATCCAGGCCCGAGGGCCTCAAAACTGTGCTCTTAATCTCTGTAATCTGTTGCCTGTCATTAAATGATATAATTATTAATTGTGGCCCTTCCTTCCTGTTGGCAGAAAGGAATTCTTCGATGGCTGCAAAGCAATAAGTGCAGACAGCATTGACGGGATCTGTGCACGGTTCCCTAGCCTCTTGACTGAAGCCAAACAAGAGGATAAATTCAAGGATCTCTACCGGTTTACATTTCAGTTTGGCCTGGACTCTGAAGAAGGGCAGCGGTCACTGCATCGAGAAATAGCCATTGCCCTGTGGAAACTAGTCTTCACCCAGAACAATCCTCCCGTGTTGGACCAGTGGCTAAACTTCTTAACAGAGAACCCCTCGGGGATCAAGGGCATCTCCCGGGACACTTGGAACATGTTCCTTAACTTCACTCAGGTGATTGGCCCTGACCTCAGCAACTACAGTGAAGATGAGGCCTGGCCCAGTCTCTTTGATACCTTTGTGGAGTGGGAAATGGAACGAAGGAAAAGAGAAGGGGAAGGGAGAGGTGCACTCAGCTCAGGGCCCGAGGGCTTGTGTCCCGAGGAGCAAACTTAGTGGCTCTGTCCCAGGAGCAGCAGCCAGGACCTGCCCGCTGTCCTGCAGCCAAGCGAGGAGTTGGACCTTTGTGGAAATTACTGAAGATCCGGATATTTTCTACTTCACACCTTTCTCTGCCTTGTATCTGAAAGGGCTCTAAAATGCTGTATCATGTTTTAGGCACTTTCTTCATTTTTTGGTTATTTTGGTTATTTCTTTGGGGGGTATCCCTCAAAATATTGGAACCTGGCTACATGTTGTGCTTTTTTTTTTTTTTTTTTTTTTTTTTCAAGCCTTCAACTCGAATAAGCCTGCCATTTCTTGCACAAAATTAGATTTTGTTTTGGTTTGGTTTGATTTTTGTTTTTGGTGGGGGAGGACGTAGAGCCGGGTGGGGAGAATGGAACTGTTAGGTTGACTTAAGATTACAAAATGATACAGTGCCAGATCTCAGTTTTGCATAATTGTTTTTCAGGGCAGGTCTGTACTGTGTGTAGTGCTGTTTACATGAATGAATTTAGGTTGTAATAATTATTTTTAAAGATTTACACAGATCTGAGTAGCAGTGTTAACTGTTAACCACATTGCATTAATTCCCAGACGATTTGGAGCTCTTGGAGAGCCAAGGCCAGTCAAGAGCATTTATGGTCTGGTGACAACCCCCTTTTAAGCTAATTTATCCAAAACCCTTATTTCCCTCACTTCTTGCTCATTCCTTCTTTGATCTATTGCATTTCATGTTGGGTTTATCCATCAACATGCTGCACCTGTCAGTCAAGTGAGCAATTTTGTTTTTTAGAACACATTGTACTGAGAACCACTTAAGCATTGAATGCAGAGAAAGCAGTGCTACCTCAGTTTTGCTGGAAGTAGACTTCTTTGATATTTTTCTTTCTTTGATGAAGTTTCTGTATTTTCATGTTTTAAGTGGAAATATCTTTTTTCTTTCATTTGCCTTGGAGCCAAAGTTTCTGTTCCTAGTGGTCGGAAAACCTGCCTGCCGGCCAGCTGACTTAAAAGAAAACTGTGGTATGGAGCTCTGCTTGAATTTTTTTTTTTTTTTTAAATTTTTTTCTTTGAGTATCATCAGCTTACTTGTCTGGCAAGTGCAGAAGCCTGGACTCTGCCAAACAAACATCGAAGTGTATTTAATAGTTAAATGTGTGCCCTTTCCCTTCTTGCTGCACCCATGTTGTCACTTAACCCCTAGGAGTTATTTATTATCTTTCTGTTAACGTCAGGCTCGTTTGGGGTAATGTGATGACTGTTTAGGTTTACATGACCCTCCTTGTCCTGTCCCTACCCCCAGATATGTATAGATACATATATAAAATATGTATATATTTTACCTATATAAAATATATATATATACACACACACATATATGTATCTATATTCCTTTTCTTTGCCTGCTAAAACTGGCCATAAAAGAGGGAGCGGCCTTCAATATTGAAAGGGTAAGAAGAGTGCCAGGGAACATCATAACAGAGGTCTTCAGGTCTGAATCTGGACCGTTCTCACCATAAGAGAATATGAATTTGCTCAGCCCTTTCCTCACAGGAGAGGGGCCCAGTTCCTCAGATTCCTCCATGAGCCCACTCTGCAAGGCCAGCTTTGGTCAAACTGCCACCGGGGTCTGAGGAGCGGATTCTGGTCATTCATTCATATATATATATATATATATATATATATATGTATATTCAAAGAACTGTACTGGAAGGGTGGGTGGCAAGAGCTTGTACAGTTCAGCTTCCAACACTTTGGAACAGATTAAAAAGGGAATCTTTTAAATAAAAACTTATGACTGTTTATACTCTTGAGGTAATGAGAGTTTGTCTATTAAACTTTTGGAATTTCCTCCCCTAATTTGCCCCCTTCCAGGCATATTTCTCAACCTGGGCAAGAATTGCATGTTGAGCTCCTCCTTCAGAAGCCTTACCGGTCTGGGCTCCCATCTTTACAAAGATGATTATTTAAGGACTTTGACAGTCACGGTTTTTCTAAAATTGATGTTGACATGGCGAACATACTTGGAATTTGATTTTGTTGTTGTTGTTGTAGTTGTTGATTTTAAACCTGACAGTTGTTCCTCCTAGCTGGGCAGTTGAGTAACTTTAAAATCGGCCATAGTAGTCTTGTTTTTTCCCTAAATAAATAAGACCCAAGGTCCAGGGCCCCAGCAAGTTCCATGGGTTCATCTGTTGGTAGGGTACCCAGACTGAGTTCTTAAAGATGCCGCCTTATCATCCAGCCAATTTGCAACTCCTAGTTTTCCCCAATTCTGCAATGAGTAGAGGCTGAATGAAGGATAAGTGTATAAAAGGAGGCCATTGAGGACCTCAAGAATTGGAAATACATTCCTTCTCCAGCCTATAAGTTCGCCTCCATGCATCAGGTTTATTTTAGAGTAAGTGAATTTTGTTACTGGATTTTGTTTTTTAACTGTTCAGCTTCCCCACCCACTCTTAGAAGAACCACTCAGAAAAAAAAATTTTTTTTTAATGATCCATTTGATGAGAACCCAGAATAAGGAGCAATCAGACAGGAACTTATGTCCAGGTTACTTCTAGGTTTGAGGCCCTGATATTGAACAAAGACTTCAGACTGCAGTAACTCTGGAACAGTATTTGACTCTCATAACCACAGAAAAGGAGTTTTTCTGCAAAGAGATCCAAGGAGAGATGTGTGTGGGGTTTGTATTTACACTTCTGGGAAGTGAAACACCCCTGTTCCTATCAACCTAAAAATGGGTTTTCTCCTTAAAGGGTGAGCAAGCAGAAATTCTGTGGAGGTCAACGCTTGCCTTTCTGGTAAGCCAGCCTACCCCTCATTTCAGCATTGTTCTTCCAGGCTGGTATGTGGAGCAGGGCAGGATGTGGATGCCATTTTGAACACCTGGAACATCAGAGAGTGCCTGTAACCAGCTGAGTATGTGTTGGGAAAAGGCTTAGTTTTGGCAAATGGCTTTGTGAGCTGTGGGTTTTTTTGGGTTTTTTTAGCAATTTACTAGCAAGCTGGTATGAGATGAGGTGTTGCTTCTTTGAATCACTCTTTCCCCATCTTTGCCAAATTTGAATGTATCATTCTTAACCTTACTTCTTGTAACGACACTTTTTTATGCTTTGGTTGCCTCTGTAGCTCTTCCCTCATCCCGCCAAATGTGCCCACGTGTGTGAGTTGGATCCAGAAACCCATCAGGTACCCTTCTGATAAGGGAAGAAAAAAACCCTAGAGAGTTGGCTGAAGATTCAAGTTTCCACCAAACTTACAGGCCCAGAGAAATACAGTTGAAATTTATGAGGCAGTATTTTCAACACTAACACATTCACAATGGGAACGTACATGCATGACTGTCCCATTGGGAGCCTTGTACCTGCCACGGATGGAAGTCACGCATGTACCACCAGTGGTTCAAGCTGGTGGCAACATGTTAAAACTTCTCAAAGGAGAGTGCAAACCAGCCTTCCTGTAAAAGGAACAAAGGATTAAGGCATACAGTATTAGTCTGAAATAGTATTGCTAGCCCAGAGGCTGGTATCAAAATTGAGTCAGGTCTGGAAGCTGTAGGGTGTTGGGACCCTATAGTTCACTTGATAGCGTCATATACTGTATACTAATGCCAAATTGTACTACAAAGTGGTGGGAAGTTACTGGGATAAAAACTTGTCAAAAAGTTTACAGACAAAAACACCTATATTTTGGACTGTTTGGTTTGGTGTATGTCCTAGGGTCTTCAGTGCAGCAGAACCCAGAAGTAGATTTAACTATACAATAAGGACTTGGAGAAAGCTGCTGTTAGGGTTTGTTGTTATTTTGTATTGTTTTTCCCCTTTAGTTGCTTGCTTTGCTGCTTTTCTGGTGTCTGTTATATTTGGTTAATGATGACTTGAACATCTTGGTAACTGACAAAGGTCTTCCTTGATAGACTTGAATTTGAACATCTTGGTAACTGACAAAGGTCTTCCTTGATAGACTTGAATT